TATATATAATTAATTTCGCCTACTATTTACTGATTACTCTATCGTGGTGTCCAGCTACTTGACCATTAAACTCAACTGTCAGTTTGAGATCATGTCGTATAACTGCATCGAATAGCAGCCTAAACAGTTATATTTACCATGGAAAAATCTGTACAAACATACATCGCACGTGACCTTTAATGAACGGGACGTTATACTGAAACTCTGGCAATCCTCTATACAGGTTAATACGAAGTTTGAGACGTAGAATAAGTAACTCTTCGTAGGTAGCCCTTCGCTGCGCTACGGGCCGGTTTTACATGGGTAGATTGCTACGTGTACCTATCGGTTCAGGAGTACGGGTGGCCAAAATTATATTGCAGGGTTCTCGGGCAGACAATATCGGCTTCTTTGACCAATAAAACTATGCAGACTGTGTGTAAGTCGCGTCGTTGGTGACGGCCGTGGTGGCAGCTGTGGATGGGGTGTGTGCGTGTGCGCGTGCGCGTGCGCGTGCGCGTGTGTGTGTGTGTGTGTGTGTGTGAGCTCGCGCGCGCGTGTGTGTGTGTGTGTGTGAGTGAGTGTGGGGGGCTGTTACCGCACGGGGCCACCATGTGTGGATGGCCCGCTGCCGTGGTGCCATCCCCGCGCCGCTGCCGCACTGCGGATGCTCTTCGTTCGTAAACAGCCCAAGGTGTTCGCTCGCTGGCCGTTTGATAGCGCCGCCCGAGCTTCGCCGCGACGCGAATCCCACACGTAGAGCGCGCCGCCAGCGAGCCGAGATGTTGTGCTTACGACCATATTGTCAAAACACACCCCGCGGCCTTTGCAAAGTTTAGATGTCAGTTTGCGTAACGCGAAGCGCGCGCAAAAAGTGAATAATGCTTATTACGGCCGCCATGATGGCCGCGAAAAAAATGGCCGCTGCTCTTAATTCAACACAAATGTTGTTTTAGAATGCTCGGCTGCGATTCCGGCCGGCCCGGCTGGATCACAGCCGCCGAAACTGTTCAAATTTGCTACCAAATGACTTATACAAATAAACGATCGACTTCTCGGTGTCCTAATTAGCTGCATGAACTTGTAAACAGATCGGAAGGCTGTTGGTTCAGGCGGCGGCCTTATTGCAACCATCCGCCGTCGCCGACGAAGCGTGGTCGGGTTAGTCGCCGGCTTGTCGCCGACCGACGCGCGACACGTAACAGTCTCCGTAGCGCCGCCTCCCGCCGCTCGTCGGCGCTATACTCTGCCTACCCGCGGCTTCCGGCGTGCCGGCGTGCCATCCGCTTCCCGCGGAAACCGGACGACGAGGTCGGGAAGAAATCTCGCGCGTCGTGTGGTGTATGTGTGTGCGCAGCATGTTGAGCAGCGGGCGCCGCTGTGATCTCGGTTTCGTCTCCCGTCCCGCTGCCAGCGGCGTAAGGGAGAGGGGGGGTGTCCTGTGTTTTATATTAGTTTACCCTCCTCCACCTGCTCCCTGTGCTTCTGTTCCTCCTGCTGCTTCTCCTGCTCCTCCTTTCTCTTTATCCCCCTCCACCTGCGTCTTCCTGCTCTTCATGTTTCTGCTCCTCCTCCTTTCTCCTCCTTCTCCCCTGCTGCTCCTTGTGCGTTTCCCGCCTTCTTTCTTATCATGCTCACTTTCATTGCATGTTCTCCCGGCACAATACCCAGCTGTTGCATGTTAAAAAAAACACTGACTGCTGAGTTGATCTCTCTGAATGAGAAATATCTATAATACCAGGGGAGTTGAGTGGGGGTTGGAGCTGAGGGTATGCGTTGACGTAGCATGGAGGAAGAAAGTATAGGTGGGGTGTGTGAAATGCATACGCGGAGTAGATTGGTGGAAGGGTCGGGTGGCCAGAATAGCTGTGTGTCGCGCGTCCCTGGTATCCTATCATCGCAGTGCAGTCGAACATTAAGTTGATGACAGACGATCGCAACATCGTATTGCTGGCTCGGTTCGCGATTGAGAAAGCAAGCAAACGCATTGAGCGGTTCAAAGAAGGTAATAAAAAAAATCTAGCCCTAATTATTCAAAGCTGATTTGTCACGGGCTGTGTTCGACCTCAGCACTTGCTTCCGAGGCGATGCAATGCACGCGCGGTAAAAAGTGAGAGTGCTGAGCTTCGCACTGAAACCCACTCGCCATTAATGCCGCCACTAAACCTGTCGTCGCTATTATCGGCAGTGATCTTGGCCGCCATCTTGGCATCGTCTGCTGTTCATGTCGGAAAACTTATCGGCTGCGCCATTTGAGATGTACGGACAAGATCACGGGGGAAAAAGATGGGCGCGTAAAAACGCAGAGAGCAAAAGAGTTGAGTTGCTAGTTTAAACTGCCGAATGAATTGCCGACGTGTGAGATTGCGGTGAGGCAGTACTGGGTGCATTTTCTCTACGAGCGTCTCTATTGACGAGCGTGAGCCCGCAGGCGGTGAGTGATGATATATCACTATAAGCGGAAATGCAGTGAGTTGCCATATCACTTTGTGTAAGGTGACAGTCACTGATTGTATCGCTGTGACCCACGAGCAGTGAGTTGATCATATTTTTGTGTGTGAGACCCACGATCAGTGAGTTGATCATATCATTGTGTGTGAGACCCACGAGCAGTGAGTTGATCATATCACCGCAGGAAGTGAGTGATTATATCACTGTTGGTCCGTCACATATAGGATCAGCAAGTTCACCGGCAATTGACCGTTCACTGACTGATAATTGCTGCATTATTAATAGTCGCCGGTCTCATTCGTCTATTTCTCACGCTCGCGACATTTTTTCCGACTGAAATCAAAAACGAGCTAGTCGCGTGTTTCATGCGCGTGCGGTGTTGCGCGGGCGGGTCCAGGGGGGGGGGCGCTCGCTTGGTGACAGCCACTACGTTCTTTGTGTAATGAATTCACATCAGTGTAACACGTCAACTCCCCGCTGACATCCATGCAAACTGACTTTGACGAAATTAGCTTAGCTAAGAGGTACAAATTGTGCTAGTTTGTTGCATGTTTTAACAACAAATCAGCCCGTACATATTAATTAGGCCGGGTACGTAATTACGAACATCTTAATGTATCGATTTCAGTTAATGCATGCCCTTAAAAGGTTATAATAGTGATTTCATCGATCAGGCACGGCGGGTAATGCGGCAGCCACCGCTTTTCCAGATAATGCTCCAATATACACACGGTCGCGTGAACGTTAGTGTCAATGTTCTCTAGGGTTTCTTGTTAAGAAATATTTCTATAGGCAAAACAATCAAAACACGTGCGGTAATTTCACGGCCTTCCCGCCAGGTGGCCTGCGCTGCTGTCATTGAAACGTCATGAGAATAATTTTAGCAAGCACAGTCCAGATGTAAGTAATTGTACATTTTTTTAATTAGCATTTATTAACATGTATTTTTTAGCTATTGTTCTGTTGTTTTTTTCAGCGCCGATAGCATCCATATTTTGGATGGATGAAGAACTAGGAAGCGAAATATTCTTGGACGGTAAGTACCAGCTATTAACGCTTATAATTAACGCGACTTCGTTCTAGCATATCTTCTCTGGTTATATAGGCTGACAAACATAATAATTTTATTTACTATTCTTGTGGGTGAAATGCATAGTTATACCGCATATGCTTTAAATGTTACTGAGAGTTGAGTGTTATTTGTGTGACTCATGTTGTATGTGTTACCTACATAGTAAGACAGAAATATGCTGCTCCTGGGTACACCTGTTTTGTCAGCGCGTATCTGATAGCTTACATAATAAGACAACAATTACAAACTACGTAATAACAACAATTATAATCATAATAATATTAATGATACATTATACTCGAAGTAAAATGTACGTTAAGAGTAAGAACACTAGTTTAGCTTTCTGTAGGTTTTTTCAGTTATGTTGTCTAATCAGTTTTCAAGGATTTTACAATATCAAGAATAATTCATACCTGATTAAATATTACCAGCAGATGTTTATTAGAAATGGCCATATCACTTGCTCAGCCTCTTGCAATGATGACTTGTATTTTAATATCAAAGGAATTTTTTACACTTTATACCGCTTATTCGGTACCAAATATTTTGTAATTCATGTAATAATATTTAATTACTAATTATAATATTTTCTTAATTATTACGTTATATTAAAATATTAACGCATACCGCTAACGCCATGCACGACATTTAAACATCAACGACAATCAATGCATTGAAGTGATTTGTGAGCAATGAAAGTCTTACGTTATACGTATAAGGCCATAACATAAAATATGTGTCAGGAAGAGAAGTATTACAGAGATGTGCGCACTGTTTGTGAAAATATTCTATTTAGGATAATAGTGCCGAATATGTTATTTATACATATATAGTGAGTGTACAGCGCATGTGCGCGTGTACTAGTGTGAAAATACATAATGGTGTGTGAATTTCCCTAAACCGACCAGTTAGTGATAAATTATCGTGTGAATATGTTGGCAAAGGCACAGGCCAAGGACAAGTGGAAATTCACATGCGAAGTTGTGCCAACTTGCAGCTCTAGCTAATGTAGTTGTTCTAAATTTTCACTAATGGCGGAGGTCATATGAGCAAGGCCGACTGTCAGGAGAGGCGTGCGTGTTTCATTGGGAAGATAGCTCTTGAACTGGCTGGTTGAAGGGGAAACTAAGTGTTATATGTGTACGTGCGTGCCCGTATGCATATGCTGTGTGTACTCGAGAGTGAGGGGGCGATGGGATTGGGGGAAGAAAGCAAGATAGAGAGCAAAATATAGGTGTTAGGAGCATGAAGTCTGGCATGCTCCATTTGAGCCATGATTTTATATCGCTGCCTCTCTAGTTGTGCTGTTGTTTCATCCAGCGTGATAAACGTTGTGGATCTATGTACATATATGTGTTAGCGTTTAATTTAATAACGCTCTCATTAAGTGTTATCTAGTCTGGTGCCTTCATCAGTGACTCTAATAAGCACGTTCTAGGGCGCACAGAGTAACTCTTAGCGCGGATTCAGCATGCGATTGCATGGATTTTCGTATTGGGTAACAAACACACCTTGATTGATGTTGTCCGAGTGAACGGAAGCTTCGCTAAGTCGCCGCTCAATCACATCATGCTCAAAGGCCCACGGAGGCGCAGTGTGGTCCACTCGAGTCGAGCTTTCCTAGTCAGTTAGTTCATTTACTCGAGAGCATTGGCCGCGGATTTGGCAGCGCTAAGTCGTCGCAATCTGCCGCCGTGTTGCAGTGATAGCGGCGGTCAGTGATAGTCCCCCATTCAGCGGGCGGACAGTGCGCGGACAGCGCTTTTCACACCTCGCGCTTGGCATCCCGCATGGCGTGTAGAATGCGCGCCTGTAGTTAGCTGGCTCAAGCAGCCTCGCTCAAGCGCTCAATGGCAAGCGCGTGAAGATGCCTTCACCGTTGTCTCGCCGCTTCTTCTTCTTCCGCAGCGAGCGGCTTGTTGTTGTTGCAGAGAAAGGGCATCAACGCGGTTCCCACCTCCCATTTTTCGCGTGTATGCTATCAGTCTCTATTTCTCTCGCTCTCTCTCTCTCTCTCTACTCGCGGCTCTTTCACGCACATATATACTTACACATACCGGCGCACTCGTACGTGCGAGAACACCGGGCACACGCACGCACACATACACGCACATACACACACTCCCGCACGCACACATAAACACACACATACACATGCGCGTGCACGCACGAACGCACGTACTAAATCTCTCTCTACCTTTACCTCTCACTTTCGCTTTGTCGCTATTCTGCTCTCTTCCATACTCTCCTTCCTCCCCCTTTGTCATTCTTTGCCGTTCTGCCCTGCTCGTCTCCCTCGTTTCTCTCACATCCCCTCCCCCCTCTCTCTCGCCCTCTCTATTTCCCTCTCTCTCGCGCTCTCTTTCTATACATATCTTTCCCACTCTCTCTTTCTCTCTGCGAGCAGTTTAGAGGAGAGCTCATGTTAAGTGTACACGCCTGTAATCCGGTGTGAATTGAGTGATTGGGAGCCAAGGCTTAGGAGGCCCCGGTATCGCGTGAGGGAGCCGTATATAATGCGCAGCTACGCTAGCTGAATTCACTCAATTAGGCTCGGCCGCCAGTCCGCGCGACCCCAGCGTGTGGACTTAGACGTCAATGGTGTTGACGGAGTCTCTTTTGGTGCCGCTGAAAAGTTGTTGCGGGGAATGAATTCGGCTAAACGAGACGAGGCGAGGGAGGCGGACGTGATTGATCGTAGGGGCACGTTGGGCGCGTAGAAGTGCGTTTCGTCTGTAAAGGGATGGAGGTCGCGGTGGTACGCCTCTGCGAGGTGGGCGGGGAGAGGGTGGTTCATTCTTCTCTATATGCGTTGGTGGCTAGGGTTTTCTAGAGTTCGTGAGCTCGGGATGTGTTTCCCGTGTACGGTAGGGATGGGGTTTCGTACAGGGGTGTGTTTGGTTTGGATAGGTTTGCGTGCAAGAGTATGTTTATATATGCGTGTGGTATAAAACAAGGTAAACCACATGGGAAATTCATTTTAGCACTATTTAAATGCCATATGTAGATTACAAACAATGCTTGAAAATATAAATCTATATAATATATATATAAATAATGAGCAGTTTTACGTACGAATAATGAAGCTATTCATTTGGTTTGTTTGAGGGGGGGGGGTCGATTAGGGTTCGTCTCGTTGTGTCCGGATGTGAATAAGAATTGCTTTTGTTGTATTGATTCAGAGACCTTTCTCAAGAAATAATCTCGCTTTCTCACTCCCTCTCTCTCTCTCTCTCTCTCGTCTCTCTCTCTCTCTCTCTCTCTCTCTCTCTCTCTCTATATATATATATATATATATATATATATATATATATATATGTATATAATATCTAAGAAGATATTTAGCTAGGTAGTTTCTTTTATTTTCTATGGATGCATGCTTTATAGTTTAATATCAAGGCTGTCAAACGGGTTTGCAAGAAATATGCAAGAAATTTCAAGAATGGGTATCCAAGAAACGGGTATGCAAGAAATTTCGAAACGAAATCGTTAATAGCATTATGAATATTAGTGGTAACTTCATGACTAAATACGCTCCGTAACAGCAGCAAGTTAACCAGACCCACGCTGCATTACTAATGAGGTAATTAGTTAGCACACACAGTGAGCACGGTGAGGCACACGTAATAGGGGGCAAGTGACGGGTGCGTGCGCGTCTGCGCGTGGCACGGTGTTGACGCTAGCTATCTCATTGTCGCGCAGGGAAAACAGTGAGTGCTGGTCAACGAGCAAGTACTCGTCCGTCTGCTCTGGCGGTATTTATAGATTCCACACGGGCCAGCGGCGATGTGCCCGGAGTACACGCCAAGTATGTGCCGTCTTCTTCAGCATGGCCTTCTTTCGGCCGAACAACAGAGGTTACTATGGCTTAATTCGAATAGATTCCACGGGAAAGTGCGGCTATTTGCCGCGTAGGGCAACCAGTTGTTCCCAAAGGCCGGGGCGATATTTGTTGTGATGCTTTTGTGGAGAGTCGGGCCTATTCGTTGCAAAGTCCACGTATTTGTTGTACCGCGGTGGGAGAGTCCACCTATTTGTTCTGCTGCCATCGGAAAGCCTCGGCTGTTTGTTCTGCTGCCATCAGAAAGTCCTGTAGAGACCTCTTGATGTGCAGAAAGAGAGAGGCTTAGGACAGCACGTCCTCGGGCGGGCTGAGAGGTGTCGGCGGCCAGATGAAAGAGCGCGTAGATTGTCGGCCCTCGCACCTGGTCCATCTTAATGTCCACTCGAAGGGTCAGTGTGGCCAGTGCCACTTGGAAAAACTAACAGCCGACTAATTAGTGCTCCCGCTCGTGCAGCCTCCCTCTCCTCCTCCTCGGTGCGCATGCGCGTAAACACGGCTACCCTGTTGCCGTGTCGCTGTCAGCGGCATGCCGGGGTCGGCAACAGATTCGATGTTCCATAATTATAATTATCATTGATTCAAATTGTTTGCTCACTAGAATGATCATTCATCCAAAAAATTTTTGTTAGAGTCATAATAAACTAGGGTTTACATTCCGTATTCATAAGAATAGTAATTTTAATCGTAATGATAATAATTAATGGTGTGTCACTGGTGATAATTACCAAAAACAGAAAGTAACCGACGTCACATCCACCCGCCCGTGAGCGCAGCCGCAGCGTCCGTGATTTACACGGAGCAGTTGAAATCAGTGTGCTGCATGTATCAGCGCATAGCATGATTCGAAATACGAGAAGCTCTTCTGTGTCGAACAGTGATATACTCTGTGGCGCTGAAATGTCTCGCGTCGATCGGCGCCGTATAGCGTCCGTCCGTGCGCATCGTGTTTCAGACGTGGCTCAGAATTTGCGCTGCTCGCGCAGATGCGCCCGATCTCTTCAGCGACAAAACTGCCATTACGGCTTCTCTTACAAGGTTAATGGAGGTGCGTCGAATTGTATGGAGTTGAGTTAATTCCATTACCATCGGCTATCGTAAACGGGCTGCGGGAAAACTGAGA